GCTGAATTGTCATCCAGCCACTGCATGCAATTTTGCCTTCACACATAACTAATTTAACAAGTGGGTTCTGTTAAAACCTGTGGTAAAACCACCAAAGAACCAACCAAAACCCCCTGGTAAATATTTATTTGCAACCCTCGATTGATTTCCAACACTTAGTCTTGCTGGTCTAACCTTCACCCTTTAAAGCACTTGGTTAAGTTGATGAGTGAATCTTGAATGTAATGTGTCAAAACGTTCATTTTGTTCACTATTTTCCTGTGGAGGTTTTAGTTTAAACACTGAAGTCAAGTAAGTTTATACCTTTTTGGTTTTTTTTTTTTCCCACCTTGTGTATTCTCTTTACTTAACAAAAATCAGCTCGGATTAGCCTGTTTGGTTTGACAGCAGCGTTCTGTACTTTGTATAATTGATGAATTTCGGTAAAGCTTTGGATGCTGTAAGGAACAGTTTCTCACTTGAATGCGAAGTATCAAACTCCTCTCTCTCTCTCTCCCCAGGCGTCGGTGCTGCGGCGGTTTCAGAGCACCTTAGTCATCGCAGAGCACAACAATGAAGCTCTCACGCCCATTACACTAAACGCCATCACCGCGGCCAAGCGTCTGGGAGGCGAAGTTTCTTGTTTAGTAGCTGGAACCAGCTGTGACAAGGTAGGAAATGCTACTTGGACGCGGGAGAAATAAAGAATGCAGCGAAACAATACTGGGCAGCCTGAAAAATACTCTGTAGCGAACAAGAACTGTGCCAGGAGTTGCTAATCCACGGGAAATGCGCTCTGCTCGAGCTGCTTCTCTTCCGAGGAGAAAATAGGGGTGTAGGTTTCATTTCACAAGGGACAGGGTCAGGATCAGTTGTTACAAGCTTGAGCAAGCAAATTTTTATAGGGCTAAAGGACAATTAGCTTTTAAAACAAGGTTTCTCTGTAAAGTTTGTAAAGACAAATATCGCAGCACTAAGAATGTGGAAAGAAACTTGCTCTTGCTTCAGTGGAAACCAGCAAAAGTGAAACAGCACTCTGACAAACAGGGATCCTGAGCAACTTTTACTGGTCAGCTTTGAGCTGCATAGAGTGTGTTTGCAACCTAAAATTCTGAAGTTAGTGCTTTTTGACTTTATCATACAGCTCATGTCTGGAAAGAGTCCCTTACGTGTTCACTGTTTTATTAGTGTAATTTTTACATGCAAAATCTGGAGGCAGTGTAGTTAGTACTTCAGTGACACTTTTATTCCAGCCTCATGGAGTTCTGTTTGACTTTGTATTATGATGTGCTCTTGTGTGAGCAGCAAAAATACAATAAACTATCCCCAGTACTGGACATACTGTACTCTGACAACAGCACAAAGTGTCTGATGCAGGAGGCAGAAACCTCCGTGAGTAATCAGGTGTTTGAGGTGGAGGTGAAGCAAATATTTATCTAAATCTGGACAACAGGAAAAAACTTGTCTGATATGTCTGTCTTTAATTTTCCTTATTCTTTGGCACTTGCGGAGTAGAAAATCGATTGTGAATCTTTGGTTGGTTGGTTTTTCATGCTAAGTATGTGGTTTTTGTCATGCTGGGAAAAAGGGTTTTACAAATCTGCAGGTTTGGGGTTTTTAGGTTTTGTTGTAAGAATCTCTGTTGATGGGACCAAAGTTACACAAACTGATACTCTGCAGCAGCTTTTAGGGGGATTTGTTTATTGCCTTTTGTTAATTTCTGAGGGTAAACTGATACTCCTCAAACTCAGTAAAACTACCCTGGTTGTGGGACAATGCATGTGGTCTCCAGACCCTGCTGTCAGTGCTCTTCTCTCTGATCTGCACTAACCCTTTTATCATTTAAACTTCACTTCTGCAAATTTAAAACAAAAAAAATGCATAAATATAAATGGAAAGTCTATGTCGTGTCAGTGAGCAAAAACTCAGCTGCAAACAAAGGACTGATGCTAAAATTTAGACAAAGATCATAACGTTGCTGTACGTTTGTGTTTGCTTGTGTGGTAGATACTGATTTAAAAGAGAGTGGGGTTGGGTTCTCTGTGACTGTTGGATACTGAGCAGTGATCCTCCAGCACGGCTGTTTTCTGCTGTTGGAGTGAGTGAAGAGGTGGTTGAATCCTGCATGCAGGAGGGAGATTTCCCTCTTGGATTGGCTTCACAGTTCTCTTCCTCACAAATCCATTTCCATGACCCCGTGAGGCATTGTGCTGTGAGTCAGAGCTGTGTTTTGTTGCACCAGGTTCGTTCTGATTTTGAATTTCATGTCCTTTGGTTCTGGTTTTAACTAGTCTATAGGCTGTTGAGTTCTTTGCAGTGGGGACTCTTGTTATTGGTGTGTGCTGCCTGATACTGCACAAACTAATAATCATTCACTTGTAATCATAGGTAGCACAAGAAGTCAGCAAAGTGCAGGGGGTTGCAAAAGTCCTCGTGGCTCAGCATGATGTCTACAAGGGATTTCTGGCAGGTGAGAATTTTTCTTAGCTATCGATGAAGGAAATGGTGTTTATATTTGTGAATGAAACAGAGATAATTGTAAATTCTGAGCAGTGTATTTCTATTCTCAGAGGAACTGACTCCCTTGATTTTGGAAACTCATAAAAAGTTCAGTTACACCCACATCTGCGCCGGAGCATCTGCCTTTGGGAAGGTAAGTGGATCCCAAAGTTCTCGTGGAAAAGGGACACTGCTGTAGGTAGGAGTGTGAATCAGAGGGCTGAGAGAGGTTAGCCATGGGCAGTTTTGAGTGTGCAAACAGTGCTGCAGCAGTTTGCCTAAGAGGTCACTAGTTAGCAGCACTGGTGTTCGAGTTTGTTGTGGGCTGATGTGGGCAAAAGAGTACAGGAACTGCTCCGTGGTAACCAGCTCAGCCTGAGCTCACAAGGCAGAGTGTACAATAAGGCAAAATAGATTAAGTGATATGAAAGCATGAAAATTGTAAGGAAAAGCACAGCAAATCGAGATGAAAAATGCATTATTTGCACTTTGAAATGGAAGTGGAAGCAAATTTTTTTTGGAGGGGGACTTACAGCCGTGATCAAAGTCACGTCCCTCGTCATGTCTGTGCATGTATGTAAATGACACAGAGCTGAGTCCCAGCCAGGATGTTTTTTGATGAAAATACAATTGTTGAAAGCTTGTTTTTTTAAAGGAAGGTGTGCACAGAGAGCCTCAGGATTGACAGTCTGAGCAGTTTGTGGTGCAGCTGAGTTAGAGCAACAGGATACGTGGGGAGGCATCAGCCTTCCACCTCACTACTCTGATCTGTGACAGTGCCTACACTCGTGGTTTTGTGAGGAGAATTCTTTATGTACCTCAAGTCTTACCTTTTTTTACTTCATTTTTAATTTTTGAACTGCAGTGTCATGCAAAAGGTTCCTGCCTTTTGCTTTAAAGCTTCCACTTCCATCCGTGAGTGCTTCATGTGAGGGGCCCTGGGTGTTGTACCAGACAAAAAGCAAGCAGAGCTTGATATATTGATTTCTTCATCATTTCCATTGCTCTTTTTATCCTTCTTCCCTCTCCTAAAGGTTCTAATTAATTTTATAAATTTTGGAGCAAGATTTTTAATAATAATATTAGTAATTTTAATAGTTATTTTAATAGTAATTTAAAAAATCATTTTTTTACTTTTGGGGGAAGAGTACAGTTTTTTTTTTCCTATTGTCTCTGGCAAATAACTTCCAAAAATACCTTTTTTTTTTTCTTGAAGTGCTAAGAGCTCAGCAATCCATAATCGTCAATTTTCTGAGTAAATGGCATCTATATTCGGTTTTAAACTATTTGAAGCAAATAATTCTCCTAATTTCAGCTATTGAATTAAGGGTTTACTTACAGGAAGGCTCATAAAATGTCTAATGTTATTACAGTAATGGGATTTGATTTGACTGCTGAAGCTACATGAGTAGCCCTACAAAAATCATAGTTCTGTGTGGGTTTCTGCTTGAGATGGCATTGTATGAAGTTAAATTGGGCCAGCAGATGTTTTTACTGGCCATGTGCATTTTACCTAGCATTTGCTTTGCTAACTTCTCATCTTTAACTTCTAGAATCTTATTCCCAGAGTGGCTGGCAAGCTTGATGTTGCCCCTGTTTCTGACATCATTGAAATTAAGTCCCCAGACACCTTTGTGAGAACTATCTATGCAGGTGAGTAATCACAAGAGGTTTGTGCTGTGAGACACCCAGTGCTGCTGACTTGGCTACAGGATCCTGTTGTTCCATGGTGGAATATATGGGGATTTTCACTTTACAATCTCAGTGGCTGTGGCTGATAAAAGTGAAGCCTGGGAATGGACGTGGTGGTGCAGCATTTTTTTTCTTTCAGTGCTCCCTGCAGCCTCCATGCTAAGTGTTATATTAAATTATAGAGGGAAACATTATCCCACAGGTATTTGGGGGGAGGCCTCGTTGTCTCCAGTTCTGGTGAATTCATGCGACAGAATAAAAGATCTACTTGGAATTAGAGACATTCTTTATGTTTAAGAATGGCATTTTCAAAGTTGATTTTTTCCCCCCATCTGAAATTTGAAAGCTCATCCATAAGGCCTGATTTGAATGCTTTGTATCCTTTAAAATAGAGGATTTGTCATTATACTGCAGAAACATGGGGTTAAAAAGTAAAGTATTTGTAATCTGTATTTATTAAGTGCCAAGTTTTAGTCATCTAAAACTGCAGTTTTAGGAAGGACCTGTGTGAATTCTGCCTATTGTAGTACAACTGCTCATGTGTTTCTCATATTAATTCTGTTTGTTTTTGTAAAGCACAATCTGATAATATTTAAATTTTTTATATTAATTCTGTTTGTTTTTGTAAACCACAGTCTGATAATATTTAAATTTTTAATATTAATTCTGTTTGTTTTTGTCAAGCACAGTCTGATAATATTTAAATTTTTAACATGACTCTTCCTTAGGAAACATTCTCTGCACTGTGCAGTGTGATGAAGCAGTTAAAGTGTTCACTGTACGTGGAACTTCCTTTGAGGCTGCAGCAGCAAGTGGTGGCAGTGCCAGTGTGGAAAAGTGTGAGTATTTTTCTGGTGTTGTGGTGTCTCCTGTGAGAGAGTTAGTGTTGCTCACTGCATGGTGATGTTCTGCAGAAGTGTTCGTCAAACTGGTTGTCACAGTGTCAGCTTTATGATTTTAATACACTTGCACTTTGTAGTGCCACCTAGGAAGGGAAGATATGGATTATCTGCTCAGTTCCTTCTTTTTTGGAACTGGTTATGGAATGAACTTTGCATTAAGTTTAAGCTCAGATTTAAAAGGCTGAAAATAAATGCTCTGTCCTTTCTCTTGTGGGTGTTCTCGTTGCTCTGGTGAATGCAGTGACTCCTCCACCACCCGTTGGGCTCTCGGAATGGATCGACCAGAAGTTGACAAAAAGTGACCGACCAGAGCTCACCAGTGCCAAAGTGGTTGTGTCTGGGGGTGAGTAGACAGTGTTCAAACTCTCTTATGTTGCATTGACACAGTGGCTCCTCTTGCTTCAATAATACCTGCAGCAGAACACTGTAATGTGATGCATTTGAGAAGTGAGCACAGGTGATTCTGCAGCGTGGCACAGGGGCCAGGGGGGACACCCAGGGTGGGTGTTCTGTGCACAGGTAGGACATGAGCTGAGCACATGCCCAGAGGCTTTGTGAGAGCATTGCCATGTTTGCTGAGTCCCTTGAAAACTGTAGCAATAGGAAGCGTTTTTAGACCGAAATCTGCCGTGTCTCAGATTATTGCTGATCAGTACAGGCAGTGCAAACATCATTATGTAATGGCTTGAATGATTGGACAAACCCTTGTGTTCTGCTCTTCAGGTATCAAGCAAAGGACTGTGATTTTTTATATTTTTTTATTGCATGCCCACGGCTAAAAATGCTTCCTTAGCCGTCCCACTACAGAGTGTTGTCCCTAAAGCCAGCAGAGGGAGCACAAATTAGTTAAAAAATGCTGTTTCCCTGGTTTTGGAGAGTGACCTGATGGTGCTGTGTGCAGGGAGTGAAGCAGCCACAGTGGGTTGGGTTGTACATAGGAAATAATAATCTCAAAGGCAGAAGCTGAATTTCCAAATATGAAGTACTGGTTAGTAATACATCAAAAATACCCTATACAGGTGTGTCTGAGTCTTTGCAAGTGCTCAAATAGAAAGTTTATGTAGGCAATAAAGTCTTAAAGCATATTATGTTCATTCTTGATCTTCTTTTGTTCTTTTAAGGGAGAGGCTTGAAGAGTGGTGAAAACTTCAAGTTGCTGTATGACCTTGCAGACCAATTGCATGCTGCAGGTAAACTTGTTTTCTTCCCTTTTTTTTTTTTTTCTCCAACCCTGTTTATTCTGTTTAAAAAGGCCATATTAAAACTGTCTTCATTTGAAGTCTCTTATTTTCACGTGTCTGTCAAATGAACTCATAAAGTCTTAGTTTAGTCATAGATAAAGTCATGTCAACTGTGAATTTAAATGTCTGTGCATGAAACAAAATGCTAAACTGTAATATTCCCTGTCCTCCTCAAATCTCCAGAACAGAAAACAGAAGGTGGGATTGTCTTAGCTCACTTTGAAGAGCTGATACTTTGTTCATAGACCCTTTTATACTGCTCCTTTATGGATTCCCACTCACAGCTGTGGTTCCAGTGGCTGTTTGTCCTTTTGCTGTGCTGTTAACAGGAGAAAACCAGCAATGCTTCAGCAAAGTATTTTATGTGGAGGAGGAACTGTTTGCTTTAACATTTTAACTCAATTTTAGCTTTCACATGTGTATAAATGTACAGTTTTACAAGACTGGCTTCGTTTTTAGATGGGTGTCTTCACTAAGTCCATGTCCATATGGCATTTTAAAGTGCACTTTGATATTTTTCTTTGCCATGCCTGACTTTTGAGATTCCCAGCAATGTAAGATGGCACATGTGTTCTGTTCAGACTTGAAGGAACCTTTTGGGAAGGCATTTATGGGAAAATCGTCTTTTGACAAAGCAACGAGAAAAAATAATGGAAGTATGCCAGACTGAAATCCTTGGTTTTAAATATATGGCCCTTTGGTGCTGGGAGTAAGGATTTCCTGTTGCTTATGAAGTGCATTAGCACTTAGTATTTGGAAGTTTTTAGCTGGTGGTATAGAGAAGGATTACCATAAGAGCTTTTAAGAGGGAAGTTTCTAAATACATGCCCTGAGAGTGTGGGACTCTCCAGTCAAATACATGTGCTTTTATGGTGATAGAAATTTGGCTGGCTAATATTTGAAAAGAAAACATTGGAAATATTTTCTTTCAACTAGTTGGAGCTTCCCGTGCAGCTGTTGACGCTGGCTTTGTTCCCAACGACATGCAGGTCGGGCAGACAGGCAAGATCGTAGCACCAGTAAGTATGGAAGTGCCTTGCATAATAGAGCTGTGATTTCCAGCCTGCATTTGCCTTCAAAACAAGCACTTAGAGATGAGCTAAGTCTTAACACTAAGCCCAACAGGAAAGTCTTAGCGTGCCCACAGTGATGCTGTCACTTGGCCCTGCATTCAGGAGCAAGCTGTGGTGGAAATCTGTGCTCTGGGTCAGTCTGACATGTTCTGCCACAGCTTTGTCAGGGGTTTTGCCTGCTGGAGTTTTTCATATTTGTCTGTGCTGCACCTTTTTTTAGCTTTCTAGCAGCCAGCACTGATATGCTAAAAGATGTCACTGCCAACATAAACTCCAAATTCTGTTGATCTGTGGCTTGATCTCTGGCAAATGTGTGGTCAGGGCTTGTACAGCTGGTGATTTTTAAAAAGCTTTTAAAAACTGGCTTATTGCAGTACAATCTAAGCAAAATTTTTGTAAGAAATGACAGTGCAAGAGATTTAAGAGAGAAATAATCCACAGGTTGGCTGCTGTAGGGTGGAATACTGAGAAGGACATACTCTAATGAGTGGCTTAATATTGGGTAATAACCTGCTGCACATCCTTTTCTGCTGTTTCTGCATCCTGCTATCACAGAGCATTGATTTCTGTGTCTTTTTCTATCTGTCTGGGGCTTCCTGTCACGTGGAAGTGTGAGGCTACTTTCGTTGTTCTTTATGACCTGAGGAGATGTGGGGAAAGTGGTGGACAGATAAAACACACTTGAGAGTAAATAGGAAGGTACAAGTGTAGCTCATCTCAACCTCATCTCAGAGGGAGATGGAACTTAGTAGAGAAACTTGGTATTTCAACTGCTGCATTTACCAAATTGAAATAATTTCAGTAGTGCTAAAAAGCTGTGCATGCCCAAAGCCTTGACAGGGTCTGCAATGCTTTGCCTTTCTACCATTAAGAGCTGCAAATTCAAGAAGTTCAAACCATGACCATTATTTTTCCAGTAATACATCCAGCAGCATAGAGCAATACTTGCACATCAAGGGCAGGAACTTGGGAGTCCTGGAGCCTGTTGGCAGCTCTGCCTGCTGGCTCCTCTTGGACAGCATCCTTGGTGCTTCTGGTGTCTTCTGTCTTGAACTGAGGGTGGGGCTGTGTGCTGCCATCTGATGATCACCCTGTGGGGCTAAGTGGAGCTATTTCTAGGCATGCCAGTGTTTAACCTGTCAACCTGCTACAAAAAGCAGCTTCTGAGAAGGAACCTGTTGGTAGGACACACATCTACCCGTGTGTGGAGTGTGACCTTTCAAAATCTTGATAGCAGTGGTATTAACCTCTGTTGAGGAAATTGTGAGGCTCTGCAGATTGTAAGTGCAGCCCTGACTTTCTTCTTAGCAGGGTGTAAGCTAAGCATCATTTAACTCTGTGTTTTGGAAGGGTATGAGACAAAACTGACCACCCTGAGTTCTTCACTACCCCACTATCCATTAATGAGGTGGAGAATACTAATTTGAAGACAGCTCAGCTCTGGTTTGTGTGTCTCAAGGCTCAACAATGAACATTCTTTCCAGAGTCAAGGCCGTATAAACAATTACTCTGAAACAAAAAAGGCTAGTTTTTGATGAAGATACAATGCTGTCCTTGGCCACAGATGGCTCCTAGTGACATGTGAAAGTCATAAGAACATAGAGCCACATCATAGGGTCACATCAGTGTCGTCATTGTCATCTTCTGGAGCATTGTTGAAGTGGCCATTAGTGGGTCAGGACTGATGGATGAGTGTTTGACTGTGGTGTCAGTAAGTGATCCCAACTGGCACATGGCATGGTGCTCCCTCTGTGTGTCACCAGGCTGGTGCTGCATTTCTCTCTTCTCCCTTCTCAACAAGTATCAAACAGTGACTTGTGCAGAGGACTCAAAATTATGTGCTCCTTCCTTCAGATTGTTCAGATGTTTTGCCTGGATCTTGAAATACATGCAAGGGCAGCACAGAGTGGCTTGGAAGTGTAGAGAATCCTGTGTTAATTGTGATGGAAGTGCAAGTTGAATTGATATTAAGCCCCCAGAGCTGCTGACTAGAGGAATTAATTTTTCCATGTGCTGCATAGGAATCTTAAATATGAGGCAGTTGAAAGCTGCAAATTCTTAATTTAACATTGCTAATTCTACTTCACTTTCATTACTTTAGCTAGGAAATTATTCTGTGCAGTGCAAGATGGAGTCTACTTGAAGAACTGAGCTCCTTTGGCCAGGCCAGGATGGCAGTGGTGGTTTTAAGAGTCCTCAGAAGGTGCTGCTTTTCCCTGTGGAGGGCTGCTCAGGGAGCCTGTGAGGGTCTCTCTGGAGAGCTGCAGAGCATGTTGGTCAGTTATGTCAGCCAAGCCCTGAGCTCTGTGTTCAGCTTTGAACTCCAGCTGACACAGTGCTTGCCCTCCTGGGGGTGCAGGTTGAAGCAGGGAAGAGTCTCGGGCCCGGGAAGCTGTGGAGTTTGAGATATGCTTGTTCTCCTGTGCAGCTGTTCCTTTCTGATGGGAAAGTGTCTCAGTGTGTGCTCTTATCCTTCTATTAATAGCCTCTTGCCCAGTCTCAGTGGAGGATTGGAATGCATTGTTTTTAAGGGACTCTGGAATTGGGTCAGTTTTGAGACTGCGGAGGGAGAAAGAGAGGAGGTGCTGCTTCTGCTGCTGCTTGTGTGGGACTGCTGGGGAGTGTGTCTGGGCTAGTATAGGGTAAGAAGATAACAGTCTAAAAGGTCTGCTTTGTTCCTCCCCTGTGCCTTAAATTGTTGATTTGGGGAAGAAAGGGCAGTTTTGGTCATTGTTCCTTCAGTAATTTCGTGTGTTTGAGTGCAGCCCAGGCAGTGCATGACAGCACACCTCACAGCTTCCCCAGCACTCTGCTGTGTCAGTGCATGAGCACACTGCCCCTCCAGGAGCAGTTCATTTGGCTTCAGCAGTGAAAGAATGCTGTTAATTAAGGAGTACAGATTGCACCTTCTTTCTGTGTGAGACTTGACTCCACATAGCACATCTGCTCTTACAGAGTAGCCTTGGATTCCTAAATTCAAGCTTTTGTTCACGTTGGGATTTATGCATATTGTTGGGTTCTGACTGGATCTTTAGTGATTTTTATTTTGTACAGTTTTCTTCCAGTTTTTAAAATATTCAGTGTATTATTTTTGTTTCTGTTAGTAGCTTTTTTTGCCTGTTGATTTCAGGTGATTGCAGCTCCTGTTTGAACATTCTGTCTCTGAGAGAAGGCTGATTTGTATGATCTGATGAGATGGAAGGAAGGAAATTCTTAGGAATAAGTGGACGTATTAAAATATAAAATATTATTACCTTGCTGATTAAAAAAGCAGTTCAGTATAGTCAGTGTCTTTAATCAGTGACAACCATTTTAGGAGCCTCTTTTTTTAAATTAGAAGCCAGTGGTTTTCCACTGTTTCTTCTGTGCAGGTGTTGGGCAGGGAAATGAAATTCAGTGCTCACATTCAGCACAGAAAGTAGTTTCTGTTTAAGAAAAAAGTCCTTTTAAGAATGTTCAAATCAGCTGGTTTTGGGTGAAAATATCTTTCCCATGAGTACCTACTGGTAAATGTTAGTTCAGTATATCCAGTTAGGAAGTACCAAAGTCCCTGCGCAAGTAAAGCCTCTCACCACCCCCAGATCAGAATGCTGTTTAGATCAGAAATTTCAGATAGTCAGGGGCATTAGTTTTCACAGGAGAAATCTTCGCAGTTCTGTTCTCTCATGTTCACAAAAGAAGAAAGAAACAAGAACAAAAGGGGAAGGAGAAGAAAGAAAGTAAAAAGTGCCTTTTCAGTTGTTTCAACCTTCTGTAAATGGAACATGAATGCTTCATTTATTAGTTCAGTATTAGCTTTCCTTACCCAAGGCATAACTAGCAACATTTCTCACATGCAGAGAAGATGTAATCTTTCTCAGGGACTTGTGTAATTTGCCTTATGGTTAAACCAAAAGTGTTCTGACTGTTGTGAGAAAAGGAAAGCAACTGCTCTAAACCTTTCCTAGGTTCTGTTGGTTCCTGAGCTGTGAGCTCTGCAGCACAGGCTGGTGAGGCTGAGGTGTCCAGGGGGTGACTGAAAGCTCCCAGAATGGTGTCTGATGCCACTGAGCCATCTGGGGGTGGGAAGTACATTCACAGGGTCGTGGTTACTGTGTGGGGCCTGGAGACTTCTGGGGCAGCATCAGGGCCCAGGTGGGGAATCCTCCTCTGTCTGCAATGCCACTAGTCTTTGAACACCCAAACTGTTCCCATGGTTTTCCAGGTTTTCCTTTGTCTCCTAATTAATTATATTCTCCCTTGAGCTTTTGCAGGAAGATAGGCTTGTGCTGGGATTATCTTGTGCTCAACTTCTTGCCCCTTGGAAACAGCCAAAATCTCAGTGGCACTGAGAGTTGCTTTTTTCCAGCAAGTGTGTGATTTTTAGACTGTTTGTTATCCTCAGACCTTGTGAAGGATCTGCTGCTGTCTGGAAGAGATCCTTCTAGTTTAATCTCTTCACAGGTCAAATGTTCACTCTTAAATTAATTTTTTTCCTCTACTGAAATTTGTAATCTTTCAGCGTGTAACTCTATAACTGCCTTAGTTTACAAGTTTTCCTATCTGTCAGAACTGCTTGTTTCTCTGTTTTGATGTTTTCAGTTGCTGCTGTCTTATTCAATCCTGAGCACAAAATAACATGCCAAGATGACAAGAAACTGAGATGGGAAACTCAGGAAGGCACAAGTTAGGAGATGCATGAGGTAGTAATAATTGACAGTGGCTGAAATGGTTGTGCCAGAAATGTGATCTGATTGCACAGAAGGCAGGTGTGTGCTGAGAACCCCCGGGTGGGAGGGCAGATGGGAATTCAGTCTAGTTCTGATATGATTGCCAGGAATAAACTGCTTGGCTTCACTGCTTAGGCTTCAGTTTTGTACTAGAGGTCTCTCTGGGTGTGACAGATTGCAGGAACTTGAGAAGGGAGAGAGATGCACAACTGGCAGAGTTGTCAGTAATAGTGGGGG